AAGTATGCACAAAATGCAAAGGGAAGCATTTTCTGCAGCTTAGACCCTACCTCGGCACACGTGGTGGGGAATAAGGAAGAAACGGTCCCTTTTGCTTATTCTCAAAATTATTGCAGATTGCTTTCTTTTACTTAAGTTGTGCTTGCTCCACAACGTTCAAAGATGTCTTGTTACTCCTTTGTTGATTTGATCTAGAGCCAACCCAAAAGGGTGAAGTATTTTATGTTCCAGCTATTCTGATCCTTCGGGACAGTGAGAATGTAGTTATGGAAAACCAATTGAACGGAACCCAATAAACTAGAGTTAACACCAGCTTAAGGAGTTAAAATTATTCCTTCATTATAGTTGTCCTGCAGCTCGTAGAACAGCAAGGCAGATTAAATCGTCACCTAACTAACAAATGAGTGTGAATATTTCATCTATTTTGTTACTTATTGTGTACAGAGCATTGGTAAACAAGGTTTCCGGAACTATTATAAGAAAAGCGTTGAAGAAATATGGTCTTAGGTTGGGCCAAAATCACCTAAAAATAAGCATAAGGAAAACCTTAATGCAGGTTGGACTGTATCCAACACTTCAATGGATTGATATACCTGAATCCATCCATGAAGAGGCCGTGAACTAAGACGCCGTCTTCTGGAGGAGTAATTAGCTTGTCAGCCTCCAGTACCTCACCAAAACGCAGATTAGCCTGTGCTGCTGAGATCTCCTCCTGATTTCGATAGAAGGGCAGTAGAGTGAACTGGAAGCTGAGATGATCAATCGGTAGGTTGTACTTACGAGCGTAATTCTGCAGAGTGCCAGTCAGGAAACCTGTTGGACATATAAAACACGTTTTCAGAATGTGTATTCATATGTGCAAGCATTAAGAGAACAATAAAGAAAACTTTGTTCTAGAAAAAAAGTACATCTTCTCAATTCACTAAAGGGCGGGTTTAATCGAGGAATAGAAAAATGTGCTTGCAGAATAACGAGTTACTTTAAGTCTAAAAATGAACAGTCCTTACGCAATATCTACCGATAGCCTTAAAAACCTACTAATTACGAATGTGTTTATGGTTGAAGAAGGAGCAATATGCAAATGTATGACTTTACTTGTATTTTACCTCTAGTTTAGAATATCAGAATTCTAGTAATAACTGTCGGACTCCTGCTTAATGGATTGGCAATTCAGAATCTATCGTTTAGCCCTCCATGGGTACAAAGAATCTTTATGGAAAGATAAACTTATGTCATTTAAGAAGTGTACTTTTACTTGCCACCTTGGGCAACCTGAGTAGTATAATTAGACAGCAGCTCAACTGCTTTCGAACCAT